GTGTGTGTGTGTGTGTGTGTGTGTGCGTGTGTGTGTGTGTCTGTGTCTGTGTCTATTTGTGTGTGTGTGTGAGAGAGAGAGAGAGAGTATGTGTATGAGTGTATGTACGTATGTGTATAAGAGTTAAAGTGTATGTGTATGTGAAGACTTTTGGTGGTCTCTTTTGAATGCAGCTGCTTCCTCTCTTAACAAAGTCAATGCACGGGTAGTGATAATTTCCATGAGGGCATAACGTACCCATGTATTGATTGTTAAGGTCTGTACGCTGGTGATGGCTACGTGGCTGCACTGTCCGAGTCCCCTATCCTCATGGCCATTCTGGTCATACTCCCATCGTTAATGCATATTAGGTCGCAGTGATCCAGAGCATCTTCCAGTGCTTCACCCTGTGGGTTGGTGATGTCATTCCCCCAACAACTCCCCCCTAGCATCGAAATCTCCACAGAAGATCAATTCACCAGGTAGACTTCTTTGCATCTCGTCAAGCACCATCCAATCTGCTTCCTTCATTGTGCAGTTGCACGCGTAAACATTTATGATGTTCCTAACTGATTGCTTCTGAAGTTCTACGGCAACAAGATGCAGTTTGTCTGTGCTCCATTTGCCGATGTGTAACTCTCTGTAGTCAATCTCATTTTTCACCATGATCAGCTGGCCATGTCCTTTTCTATTGTAAATCGGCTCCTTGAACCCCATCGCTCCAAAAGTCCCAGATTCCCATAGCTTGGTTTCTTGTAGGCAAATGATGTCTGCGCTGTACACTACCTTCTCTATTATTATCCTTCTTTGCTCCACGCTACTGCAGTTCCAATATAGAATCCAATATACAATATTAAACTTTAATGTTAAGTCCACCTGTTGCGTGGTATTAGTGATTGCTCTGTTTTCCCTTTTGTTTGTTACTATCGTAATAAAATATAGTTTAAGAGAATTGTTTTTTGCAGAGACAAAATTTTGGATATACAATGTATGTCCATCCTATTAACATTGAGGGTCCCCATTCTTTCTGCTGTCTTTCAGACACATCCCTGATCTTCAGGTAGGAAAGATCTACACCTAGCCTTCTCGGACAAGGGCGAAACATCTCGGAGAGCCCGTGTGCAAGATGCGCACGTTAAAGATACCTTGGTGGTCTAAAATAGATAAAAGTAGGCTTCGGCCGCCACCGGGACAAAATTCAAAATTTCTTTCTATAATAGGTGTGTCCCTCGCGTTGATATGACCTTAACCAGTTGCAAGCGCCGTAAAACACTTACCAACTCCCCTCCACCAAAAAAAAAAAAAAAAAAAAAAAAAACTTGAGCAAAGACAGTTTTACGTTTAAAAAAAATAATTATGCACTATTTCGACAAGCCTGATTTTTAAAGGTCAATTTTGAGTGATCATATCTCGGGTGTCTCTTAACATAGGTGAAATAATATTAATGTTTCCGATGATGCAGAATTTCTTTAGCTTTAAATTGATATGCTACATGAGTGGGTAATGAAAGGCTTTAACACGATGACTGGGTGATTACATTTTCAAGTTTCTTTAGCACGCCAATATATAAATAATCTCTCCTTTTCAGAAGAGGATTAACGAAATAATGCGCGTAATATTTTATTTTAATCTTTTTTTTCTCAAAGAAAGGCTTTTTGTTCGTTGCAATCTATGAATCAGTTGATATTATAAAAGAGACATTTCAGTTCAATCATTTAAGGCTAGGAACACACCTGGCACACTCTTTTTGAAATAGCTCCCTTCAAATCATTGTAAAAATGTGGTAAAAACGACAGTTTTTAAAACCTAAATATTCAAGCAAGTCAGTATCCATTCCCCACAAGACTGTTAAGGACAAAAAAATGGGATCACACTGAAGTAAAGAAAAAAGAAATGCTGCTTGGAAAAAGAGATGCCAGATACAGTTGAATAAAAATGGATAGACCTATATCTGAAAATTCAACAAATGCATGGTAATAACATCCATAGTAGAAAAGATATAAATTGACCATTTAGCACTTCTATCGAGCGGCGCTGGTAGTCATTTCCACCTATGAGGTCAAGGAAGTATGCCTCGTTAGAATTGACTGAAGACAAGGCAATAGCAAGCCGAAGTAGAGTTCTTCTTTCTTTGAGTACCGTATTTGAATGGGTGGAATTGACGCAGAAACATGTGTGTGAGTGTGTGTGTGTGTGTGTGTGTGTGTGTGTGTGTGTGTGTGTGTGTGTGTGTGTGTAACATGTGTGACATTTTAGAGTCGGCATAAATATGACGAAGTGGACAGTGCGATGGAGTTAAAACTTGGATAAATACTAAGAAACTTTGAAAATACATAAAAATTCATCATCATCATCATCATCATCATCATCATCATCATCATCATCATCATCATCATCATCATCATCATCATCATCATCATCATCATTATCATTGTTGATAGCACGACAATAAAGAAAACAAATCAAATTGGTGGAGCCTTGAATATTTTAATAATAATATGACATTATGAAACAAGCTCAAGTTTCACCCTCTCGGGATTCGCCAGGAACGTGATTAATGAAAAAAACAAACAAACAAAGCCAAACAATAGCAACGCGATGAAAACTAAGTATAGGGCCTTGGTTCACTTATAGCACGACAAGCAATACGGCGTGAGAGAAACATATAGCGGAAAGACTACAGAGAGGGGAAAGGCTATGGTTAGTACTGTAGTAGTATCAATATATATGTACATGTACGTACTATCATTGTCATAATATTTATGTTTATTACTGTAGTAGTAGTAGTAGTAGTAGTAGTAGTAGTAGTAGTAGTAGTAGTAGTAGTGACATAGTGACATACATTCACATGTGAACTTTAAATACCCAACATGTAGGGGACTCTTCTCTGCCTCTCTGATGTGCCGGAATCGTTCTCAGCGCCATAGGAGAAGACATATTAAGTCAACTCAATCTTTATTTCTTCCACCCCGCCGTGAAGGCCACTCTTCTGTACATTTGTCATCATCAGACATTGGTGTACAGACTTTAATAATAATAATATAGTAGTAGTAGTAGTAGTAGTAGTAGTAGTAGTAGTAGTAGCAGTAGCAGTAGCAGTATCAGCAGCAGCAGCAGCAGCAGCAGTAGTAGTAGTAGTAGTAGTAGTAGTAGTAGTAGTAGTAGTAGTAGTAGTAGTATTAGTAACAACATCATAAATGTCAATAGAACAGGTAGACGGTAGGCTATGACGTAATAAAATTATGTATATAAATACGACGCGGTGGAATCAGGAGCTCGTCAATTTTTGGGCATATGGAGTTATCGGTATTATCTAAAAGCTGAATAATTTGTCATGCTTCAGATGAAATGAATACCCATCTATCTTAAACAGAATTCAAGATATTTGCGATGGAAGGTCGTGAGGTCGCCTGATTTCAGTGGTGAAACTAGCGAGAAAATGGCCTCCAAAGTTTGGTAACTCCAATAGCTAAAGAGTTCTTGAAAACAGAAAAATTACCTTTTTTGAGCCTTTAATCAATGTTTTTCAGTAGAATTCACACGGAAATGTGTTTTTATGTGGACTTAAAAGAGGTTGAGACAAAAAAATAAAATAAGATAAGCATTTCCAAAATGGTGAAAAAATGCCTGTTTCTCCTATTTCTGTATTTTGACGAGGGCCTGATTTCACCATGCTGCCTCACATTTTATATATATATATATATATATATATATATATATATATATATATATATATATATATATATATATATATATATAATTTTTAATACACACACAAACACACACACACACACACACACACACACACACACACACACACACACTCACACACACTCACACACATGCGCGCGCACACACGCAGACACATAATATATTAAATTTATAATGCATTAGCAGAAGGAAGCAGGAAAGGCAGGGAATGGGGTTACTGGAATGCGATGGATGAGTTTTATTTCACGTGGTAAATATAAGGTCTTTGAAATGTGGCTGGTCGATATTTAAGACAATGAAAATTAGGTGAAATCCCAAATTCCAGAAGCACATTGATTCTCTTCAACAAATTTTTATTTAGTAAGATTTTTGACGATCTCAAGACCCAGAAGCTGTAAATGGGAGGCTCTCAGGGTGGTGGTAGTTTGATCTATATATTGGGCTGGGCAGACCTTACATGAGATGAGACAAAACGATGTTTTTCGTTTCACAGGTGATGCTATGAGAGCGATTTTTTCAATGGGGGGGGGGGGGGGGGGTGTCGGGAGGGCTTCTACAAAATTCATCACTTTCATGTTTGCATATGTTTAACATCTAGGTTTTTGAAAAGGATGAGGAAATGATTTAGCGAGAATGAGGAGGTCCCTGCCAAAATTTGGCGGGGGCTGGCGAAGTGCTATATGTGGGGCCTGGGGAAAACATGCTTTCATTTAGTCGGATTTTTCTAAAATGTTTTTTTTATGTTGATTATGGATTTTATGTACAATGGGTAAGTTGTGAGCGCCGTAAAACCTCTACTAAAACTAAACTACTAAACACTGCGTAACTGTAAATGATGAGTTGTGGCGAATAATTGTCTTTTTCTTTGGATTTACGCGGTTTGTAAGTTAGAAGCTGTATGCAGTTTCGCTTGCTGACTTTCTTGATTATTGGGGCTTACAATTATTTTGCATGATCCTTTGAGGACAAGATTGACTGTATAACGGTGACGATGATGGTAAATACTATTAACGTCGCACATATCTCTTCTCGAGCAAAGGCTCTTTGTTCTTTGCAATCAATGAATTAGTTGATACAATACAGATAATTCAGTTCAATCACGCGAGGCTAGCCACACACATGGTACACTTTTTACTGCACATATTCATAGTAATAATGTCGATGCATTTTGTCATGATAAACAGTTAGGCATATTATCATTTATAGCACGTCGCTGCGATTATTGAAAAGTAACAGTATGGTTAATCGACTTGCCATGCCAATCGGATACGCATACGTCAGAAGTAACGCTTTGACACAGATAAGTAGAAACATACCAAAATAAACGCATTATTCTTTTTTAAATACAAGGTCAATACCACGATAAGACATCAGGAGGAACATACCATTTCACAGAACAATGCTCGAAAAATACAAGGATACCACAGACAACTTGTGTGAATGTCACACAATACTTTTGGCGTATAACGCCATGTCATTTCGCTACCTAAGAATTATAAAGTTCTACCTAACATATTATGTAGCCGTTTTGAATTACTGAGGACAATAACCAAATATTCGATCTACTCTATCAAAAACGTTAGATGATTCGGAGTCGTTATCATGATATTCTGAGAATAGCATTCGAAAAAGCTTGACGTGTTGTAAAACTCAAAGTATTGAACGTCAAATTTCTAAAAACTAGGTATTAAGCAGATACAACTTTGTAATTCTAGGGTAGCTATCTGGTCGTCTCAAAACTTAAGACGTGCGACGCGTCACCTCAAAACAACTGGTGTACAATGGTTTGACATTTTGATCACCTCAAAACTTACACAAAGTATGTTATGACAAGCTCCGACTTTCCACCTGTCATTAACTGATACACTACACTACTCACTGTGCGCCAGATAGACAGACAGTCACACCCCCTCCTCTCCCTTTATGGAGTTGTCACAAACATTGAAGGGTTCTCTGGCTCCACCAGCAAAGACGTGTCTGACAACAGTTCTTCTTTCGTCGACACCATTTTGTACCCGAGTTTCCCGTAGAGTCCTCCACACATTTTGTCCACCAGCTTGGCGTGTTTGTAAGAATTTGTGTGTCTCCAGGAGTATACGGCTTCAGTGGAGTTCTTCCTCACTATCCCCAATCCAAATCCGATCTCGTCATGGCTTGCATTGGTAATAGACTTCACGTACTGGGTAACTTCGTCTGTCATGTTCAAGCCAATGAATTTATACAGGGCTTCTGTATACAATAGGGGAGACATGGCACCGATTTCGTAATGTGCAACCTTGACTCTACCTGGAAACAGGTTGGAGAGAATTTCTGCATGCTCTATGTCGTCACCGAGGTATTTACAGAAGTAGGTTAAGTTTTCTGTGAAGTTCAGCTTCATTGGGTTTTCTAGACGATGCATCTGTGACATCATTACAGCTCTTGGGTCCCTGTAGCAGACAAAGATCAACTTATAAACGTGAATAAACTTGGGTAACTAGGGTTGTATTCCATACCTACTAAGATTTGGAGATTTGATAACTTTTCCAATCGTAAGTTGTTTCTTTTATTCTCATGGTTTAGATAATTGTTTTGAAAAACCTTTTCAGCTTAATATATTTACTTCTTTTACAAAGTCTCAGATTCCATTTAATATAAACGGATCCTTTGCCTACATATGTATCAAAATAGCACAAAAAGGGCGCATTAATGGGAAAACGTTATTTGTGACTATATATCTTATCGCAGAGCACCAGACTTCGGACACTGTAAACATGGTCCCAAAACCGTTCTAAGATCTTTTTTAGAATGAATGCTATTTACACCTCTTTGAACTTACAGTCTAGCCGTTTTCGAAAGACAGCTTATTACTTTACAATACTCACATTCTCAGTCTTTGATTTTAAAATCAAAATACAATAAACAGGAAAAACAATATGTCATAATACTTAAGTTGGGAAAAGTTTGTGTACTGAACACAATTTTGTGTGTGTGTGTGTGTGTGTGTGTGTGTGTGTGTGTGTGTGTGTGTGTGTGTGTGTGTGTGTGTGTGTGTATACATGTGTGTGTGTGTGTGTGTGTGTGTTGGGGGGGGGGCAGGGTGGTGGTGGTGGTGGTGGAGGGGAGCAGGGGTTTGGATGGGTGGGGGATAAGTACCTTTCCTTAGTTCTTCCGGAAACTCCGTGAGTTTTTTCCAAAACAAGCTGGAGGACACATACTCACACAGACATCACCATAATTGAAACACACTGCTACGCAAGCATTTTTGCAGGAGGGAGATTTTTTAATATTTTGAATGATTACTTTTATCAAGTAAATCCTCTTCAACATTGCTTTTCTCACCCTGGATCAGGGTACAGGTCACCAACAAACGCTTTCCATCTTTCCCTATCCTGGGTTAGCCTCTTTGTACTATTCCATAACTTCCCACTTTTCTGTATTATCAAGTAAATACCTTAGTAAAAACAGCACTTTGCTGTTAGGGTTTTCCAACAGCATTTTCTTGGCCCAACGCATACGAAAACGGATTGTTTTGATGAAAGTTACAGGGCTTGACAGGCAGTCACGGTGAACCTTCTCGAAACACTTGAGGTAGTAAAAGCCTGGCCTTTGCTGCGGAGGTATTATATGGGAAATGAAAAAAGCATGATAACAAAAACGAACAAATTAATATTTACGACACAAAAATCAACAATGGCAAATGTAATTGAGACAAACACTGAATGAACAAAAACATTGGCAGTGGCAATGAACAAAAACAATATCAGCTTATTTATACATTTGAGTGAAGAGAAGAAATTCGCAACAAGAACTATAGTTTGGTGTTGAGGATTTAAAAAAAAACAAAAAAACAAAAACAAATTCAAGATACACTGACAGGAGCAGCAGAAGAAAAGAAAAGAAGTAGGACTGATCTGGTGGTGTCCTCACACAGTGCGCTGTTTCAACAAGAACAAAAACAATAACAAGAACAAATCATACAAACAACAACATCTTCTGCATGTATACAAAAACGACAGCAACAAATGCCAAGGAAGTACGAGGGGGTTTCAATAAGTCTTTGGTCTGGGTTTGAAGGATTCATGGTAGAGTAATTACATTTTGCCAGCCTTTAGACACTTTCTTTGGAACACACCATGTACGTTTGGGGGAATCTGACAATAACAAGACACTAGTCAGCGTGGTCAATGAAACCATGCACAAAAACGTTTATTTTTCTTAGCTGAAGGTGTGTCATGGAGCCTGTTGAATATTGCTCAGTTATTATGTTTTTAAACTTTCAAGGAAAATCTCTACCCGACATTTTTCAGGAAATGGTCTTCTGGATTCATGTCGGTGATGAATAAAGATCGTGAATTGCGCCCATTCTTAGTGGTAACTGAAGAGAATGTATCCATAGTGAAGAAACTGGTTTTACAAGACCGCGTATAAGTGTAAAACAGCTCTCAAGTGAAACGAGAATCAGTGCAGGGTCATTTGAAACGATTCACTATGACTGTCCTAACGTAAGCACGGGGTCTGCGCGGTGGATACCCCGCCTTTTGACAAGTGAGCAAAAGAAGCAGAGGGTTGAGTCCTGCAAAAGTCTCCTCCGAATTGAGTCCAATGACACACATTTCTTTAAAAACCTGGTGAGTACGGATGAACATGGATTTATCATTTTGACCAAGAACAAAAAATGTCCTCCATGCAATGGAAAACGCTTTCTTCTCCCTCACAAAGTAGGCAAAGGCAACACTGTCAAGTGGAAAGCTTATGCTGTCGTGTTTCTGGGGTTGTGAAGGTATTATCATGACTGACTGCCTGGAAAATGAAAAAAAAATTTAAAAAACAGTCACAGGAGACTACTACTCGGGTTTGCTGATTAAACTGCGGTCCGAATTGGCGAGAAAAGGCGAGGAAAACTCTGTAATGGGGTCCTCCTACTGCAGGACAACGCCCTAGCGCACAAAGCACAACGGACAATTCAGACAGCAGAACAGTGCGGCATGGAAATCCTGCTACACTCACTCAGCTTAATGACCAGACCTTGCACCCTCAGACTTCTTTTTGTTTCTTAATCTTTAAAAATCACTCAAAGGACGTCGTTTCCATGGCAACGAGGACGCTATTGAAGATGTTGAAGGCTGGTTGGGGGCCCATTCTGAGTAATTTTTCTCTCAAGGACTTTTGAAGGTCAAAGAGAGGTGTCAGAAATGTGTTACTCTGCATGGTGACTATGTAGAAAAATAAAACTATGTGTGCCAAGTTACAAAGCTCTAGCTTTATTCCTTCATACTAAGACCAAGGACTTCCTGCCCCCCTCCCCCTGGTACATACACGCTTTGCTTTAATTAATTTTTTTTTCAATGTTACCATTTTACGTCCCGATCGACACAATTATGCCAATATAGGAATCATTAAAGTTTTAGGAATACGATTGTTTTAAGAAGACGGTAATAGTTTGATTTTAAAAAGATGGAGCCGGATTAGTTGAAGGTTTACCATGCTACGACGGTCCACCGTAAGTCCCGTCCCCACGGTCACTTCGTTAGGCCAATGACACGTCTAGTGTAGCTTAACGGTAACGACAGCGCTAGGGGAATTTAGACCAAAGGCGGTGGAGTTCACAATTGCGGTGTGTGGGTGGATTGCTCCCTTTTTTGGGCAAGTGTTGTTACTGCGCTCGCAACTGCATAAGGTCATATAAGTGCATGGGAGACACCGAACATTTTCAGTTGGTAGGAAATGTTGAATTTCGCCCGGGTGGCGACAGAAGCCCACTCTTATCGATTTTGGACGACCAAAGGATCTTTAAAGTGCGCAACTTGCGCATGGGACCTCCGAGATTTTTCAACATTGTCCGAGAGGGCCAGGTGGATATCTTACCTACCATAAGATTAGAGGTGTGGCTGAAAGACAGCAGTAAAAAGGGGTCAAGGAGAAGCAATAGAAATGCTGCAGAAAGAGTCAGAAGCCCAGAGGAGGGGGGGAAGGAGGTGAGGCGGTGGGGGACAGAAAGTGAAGACAAAAGCAGACGACAGAACATCGCTAGAGAGCAAGAAAGGAAGTGAACGGTGACAATTTAGAGAAGAAAAGTTTCCGTCGCTTTCAGGATTCGAACCCGAGACTTGCTCGTATTGAATGAGAGGCGGACACCTTAACTTCTAGGCCACGAGAGCCCCCGTGGATTGCTCCATTTTGCAGTGTCGTTCAGATTTTATAATTCTATGGTGGTAAAGATTGTGATTCACAAGTAGGTCGCGACAGCAAGTGACCAGACCGGAGAATTTTCAAGAAATCAGGAGGATGGGGATTGTAGCCATCAACTAAACCAGTATCAACGCGATAGACCTTCAACTGAGCCGCACCAAAAAAGTTCTTGTTGCCTGTGTAGGCCTACCTACCTGTTCATTTAAACAGGCGGTGTAGTTCCCGAAACTGCCACTCATGATGGTGGGGAAGACTGGGGGCACGAGAGAGACGTTGTCGAAGTCACAGTCTTGGAGGGACTGAACAACCTGCAAAGTTTGCTCCCTTTCGAGGTTCCTGTTGAAGATTGTAAGTAATAGGGAATGGGGGATAGTGGAGGGGGGTGGTTATAATAATGAGTCTTACATTTCCCTATGACCCGATCAAGCTAAAGTTATAACAATGGTTTATAATCATGCATCTCTATCTTCGAAGGCTCACTCAGCGTAAAAATGACTCATTTGGCGTACAGAATCATAGCATCATTCCAATCCATCATTTCTGTCTGTCTGTCTGTCTGTCTGTGTGTCTGTGTGTCTGTGTGTCTGTGTGTCTGTGTGTCTGTGTGTCTGTCTGTCTGTCTGTCTGTCTGTCTGTCTGTCTGTCTGTCTGTCTGTCTGTCTGTCTGTCTGTCCTCTCTCTCTCTCTCTCTCTCTCTCTCTCTCTCTCTCTCTCTCTCTCTCTCTCTCTCTCTCTTCTTTCTCCTTTCTCTCACTTTTTCACTAAGCCCTTCCCACTACTTGCTACGGGGACTATACTGGATGACATCATACTTGGGGGGGGGGGATGTGTGGAGGGGGGGTCGTTAAGTCTCAGTACTTCACTAAATCACTTTTCCTTGTCTCAGATTGAAGTTTGGGGACAGAAGTAGAAGTATCTGGTAAGAAAAGTAATGGATACACCTTGTCTTTGAAGAAGGTTACACAAACCCTAAACTCAAGGTAAAAAAAAAACACCGAAAAACCTAACCCTAAGTACTGAGCAAGACACTTTCTCTTCCAATAAGGATACATCAATTCTAAACTCGAGTTAAAGAAATACAACAACAACAAAACCAGGACCCTTTATATCTAAATAAAAATACATCAGCCCAAAACTCGAGGTTAAAACCCCCAAACCCGAAGTACTGAGCAAAGCACCTACTTTTTGAGTAAGGATACATCAACCCAAAACTCGAGGTAAAGTAAAAAAGCCTAGCAACCTAAACCCCATAGGTACTGAACAAGATACTAACTCTCTAAATAAGGATACATCGAACCTATAAAAAAAAAACCCAATGCCAAAGTACTGAGCAAGACATTTACTTTTTGAATAAGGATACATTAACCCTAAATTCGAGGTAAAAAAATAACATCAACATCAACGACAACCCAAACCCTAAATACTGAGCGAGACACTTTATTTTCTAATAAGAAAGCATTAACCCAAAGCTCGAATTAAAAACCCCAAACCATACGTACAGAGCAAGACACTTTCTCTTTGAATAAGAACACACAAACCCTAAACTTCAGTTTAAAAAACCCAACCCATACCCTAAGTTCGCGAGGTAAAAACCCAAAACCGTAAGTACTGAACAAGTCACGTTATCTTAACTTTGATGTCACGTACATCAACTCTACTAAAAATTACCTAAACCCTAAGTACTGATTAATCTTTGACGTCACATACATCAACCTTAATAAAAACTACCTATACCCTAAGTACTGATTAATCTTTGATGTCACGTACATCAAACCTAATAAAAAAAACAACCCAACCCTTAGTACTGAGCAAGACACTTACTCCATTAACGAGGGTACATCAATCCTAAACTCAAGGTTAAAAAAAGAAGCCCCAACCCTAAGAACTAAGCAAGAAAGACACCCAGACTTACTCTCTGAACAAGGGTACACGATCTGTGTTGCTGATGTCCAGAATCTTGACAGGCTCAAAGAAGTAGAAGACATCTTTGTGAGCGCTGATGATGCCGGCCGTGAAGGTGGAGCCACTGCGGCCGTGAGTCACCAGCAGTAGGTGCTTTTTGTGCGGCCTGCTCGTCGGTGGGGGTCTGTCGTTGGGGAAGGATGAGCAGTTGATTGAGTACACAGGCGTCGTGTGCACTGAGTCTGGGATGAATGGGAAATGGTCATGTTTAGGGGGAAAGATACACACACACACACACACACACACATACACACACACACAAGTGCACACACACACATACACTCACACACACAAGCGCGCGCACACACACACACACACACACACACACACATACATACACACAAACGCCCACTCGCGCATACACACAAAACACAAATACACACACATATACACATGTAAATATAAAATTAATATAGGTTAAAAAAAATATGGGTAGCCTCGTGATTCAACCGCCTAAGGGACAACATTTTCGAAAATCACTTTTTGATCCCTGTATGTTGTACAGCCTTTGATACACCTTATGTTAAAATCCCGAGTTTGAAAGATTACTGCAGTGTTTCAATCCTTCGGTAAATCAATCGCCTATATCACAGCAGTCCCCAATTTCTACGTGACTCAATCGCCCATTCGCCACCGGGCTGCAAGGCTTGTTGATGTGTTCACCTGTCACGTAGGCGG